GGCCGCGCCCGGCCGCGTCTTGGCGCGGAGCTCGTCGGCCACCGCCAGCTGCGCGTGGTGCGGCCTCTCCGGGTGGTAGAACTTGCACTTGATGCCGTAGGTGCATTTCTTGCCTGGAAGGGGCCGAGAGGCGCGGGGTGAGGCCTCCGGGAAGGGCCGCCGCCGACTCCGCAGCCTCGGCGCCCCGGAAAGGCCTCAGGATCTGGACTCGGGACCGAGCGGGGGACACGGTGCCCGGGGGCACGGGCAGGAGGGCGGCTTTGCTGGACTCACTAACCCCGAGGCTGCAGTGTCCCAGAACTCCCCGACCAGAGACTGAGACCGCATCTCTGGGTAGGATGACCTCAGCCTTCGCTTCCCCAGGGACCCCGTGGACAGGGCCAGCCTTGGGGATGGGGACGTAGGGAGTGGGTGTTCATGGCATAGGATTGTGCCTGCAGCGCTGCCTCAGTTTCCACCGTTGTCCACATCCCTTGGGCTAACCATTGCCCTTTCCTAGGCTCTGTTCTAACAGAGGTGATCAAGTAAGTCCAAACCCCAGCACTTCTGAAAGTGAAAGAGGGCAGGGTGGGCCTGAATATACCCATGGTCACCTTAATTCTAACAAGAAATGGCTTTGGATGTCACCCAAGGTTTATGCACTTCTGAGACCTCAGGACATTGAATAACTTGACAAAGGTACATAAAGAGCTGGCTAGAAGGCCGGCACCCCTGGGGGGTTCTGGAATAAAATCCTTAACTCCTAATGGACAGCACCGATCAGTCCATAACGGTAGGGGGGTGGGGGGATGGTGAGGCAGGGGCAGGTGGAAGGGACTGCTGACGGGGAGCTGAGGGTGTGCGCAGCCCGAGGGTGTGCGCGGCCTCTCTGCTGCTCAGACACGGCTTTGCTCTAGTGTCACCCCTGCATCTGGCCCTCACAAATGCTCCCGTGCAACAGCCGTCCAGGATGTCAGTTCATCCTTACAATAACCCTGTCAGGACACTGCCCTCAGACAGATTGCTACCTCTCCAGGGTCACAGCTGGCTAAGGGTAGAACTGGAGCTAGAACCCAGGCTGCTGACTGTTAGGCCAGCGCTTTTGACTGTGACCCTGTGTCATCCCCACCCAAAGCCCTGAACAGGGCCCACAAGGCACTGTGTGCTACCCACCATAGGGGCATTGCTGCCAGGACGGCTCAGGGGGCTTTGGCTTCCTGCTCAGGAAGTTGCTCAGGGTGGGTCCTCGGCGGCCCAGGGGGTCATCAGGAGGCATGAATCTGGAAAATAAGCACAGAGAGGTGACTGCCAGACCAATTGACATGTGCCCCTGGCACCTGTATTGGGGGGTGGGAGGAGAAGAGAGGCCCAAACCACCCAGCAAGCAGCAGGCATGACCTCAGCGGCCTGGGCTCACCATCCACCCAGGGGGCTTGTCTTAGCATCTTAAAGGAGCAAAAGTCTGCCCTCATGCTGACCCCATACAGAGCACAGCACAGCTGTGTTTCTCCTGCTGTGGTTCAAGCTGGCAGAATCAGAATCACCTAGACACTTGTTATCAGGGTTTTACATGAGACCTGCTTAATCCAAATCTGAGCTTGTTCAGGAATCTGCATTGTAACAACTTCCCAGGTGATTTTTATCCAGGAAAATTGAAGCCTAATTGCTCTAGGGCTCCCCTAGAAGGTTTTAGAGTTGTATGAGCTCCTTGAGGCAGGCTTAGGTCTATCTCCAAACACAGCCTGGACATATACAGGTAAAGGATCAATATTTACAGAGAGTTTGAAATACCAGCCTATGAATCAGTAAAGAAGCAGACCGCAGGTGCCACCTGCACAGAGAGCCTCTTCACAGACTCAACCCCCTCTTCTGCAAACCCTGGGGCTCCAGGTTTGGTCTTCAGCTCCAGGGGCTGCACTGACCTGGACATTCTGTGACACTACCCTGTCCCCTGCCTGCCCTCTCTGCTCTCTGGCATTGAGCCCTAAAAGGAAGGGAACACATGCTTGGGATATTCAGGGCTCAAAGTGGAAACAAAATTCCTGAGAAGGAAAACTTCCTTCATTTAGTGAGACCCACTTTTTATATGAATACTTTTGTTCCCAGGAGACAGTTCCAGGTCATACAAAGGTTCTGCTGGAGGGATTGTGGATGTTTTAATGGGTGGATGTCCCCCTGAGAATCCAAGAGTCATGCTGAGGTCTCACCCTGCAGAGAGCTGGGCCATCCCTGGTCCGGAGCAGCCTCCATGGCTCAGCTCCCAGCTACACAGCCAGCCTTGCGGCAGAGTTGGGCCCTGACCAAGAATCTGGGGAGCCGCCCACTGCAGTTATTAAAGGTCCCCCAAGACTTCACCTCCTGCTCTCTCTGGAGCAAGAGCTTTGCCAAGGGGGCCCTGTGGACGTGCCCAGGATGCCAGGGCAGTTGCCCTCCTTTATAGGCGGGCAGGCAGGCCCTGCATCTGGCAGCCGATGGGGGGACTTTCTGGCAGCCCTTTAGTAGGGCCCAGCAAACAAAAGGCTTTGGCCTGGGCCCCAGGCTGTCACCAGGCCAGAGGCAGCCATGATCCATCAAAACTCAGTGAAGACTTCTGGAACCCATGGTTACCAGACTTGCCAGATTTCTCCAGGCCGCTGGCCTTTTGTACCTAGAAACGACATTGGGGGCTACTGCAGGGTGGCTGGAACATCTGCCTTGGGGCTCAGGAGGCTGCCTCCACCTCCAGAGCTGCAGGGGCAGGTGGCAGTGGGAACAACAGTGCTCCTTTGGGGCCCCATGTCCTGGTCTGGCCTGGGAATAACTGCTACCACTTCTGGGATACAATTCCTTCTAGTCCTTACAATGATCTCGAGGTAATATTATTAATCCCTTTTCAAGGTGAAGAACACTTCAGCTCAGTGAGGGTAGGCAATTTCCCCACCACACATGGCCAGTGAGTGGCAGGGCCTCGGCTGGAAACCTCATCTGCTTGGTCCAAAGCCCCAGCTCTTTCCCACACGCCTCTGCATCCCTGGCTTTGGGGTCAGGAGCTGGGCTGCCTCCTTCTCTCTCCCACCCACCCTTCGCCAGGGCCCCAGCTGTTCGTGCACTCGTTTATGCACTCAGTCACTCAAACAGCCAGCTACTGCATGCCTATTCTGTGCCAGGCATGCTGGGGACATGGCACATAAGGCAGATACAGTCCCTGCCCTCACAGAGTTGGGGAGCTGATCTCAAACCACATCCCGAAAAGCCAGCTGGAGAGCCCAGAACAAGGGCCAAGCTACCATTGCCTGGAAGAGAAATTGAAATGGGAGTGGTGGTCCAGCTTGCTGAGCCCTCCCCACCTGTCCCACACTACCCTAGTCCCCAGGCCCACATCCACCTGCCAGACGCCCAGGGCTTGCTCTCGGCATGCCTGACACGCTTGCCATGGACAAGCCATCGTTTCCTGTCCACTTAGCTCAAGCTAAAGCCTTCACCCAGTACCTGCTGTCTATTTTGTGCCTTGCGACCCTGATGTCCCTCCCTTCCCCCAGTGTGGCTGGGTGGGCTTGACCCAGGGGGACCAACCGGTTCTCTTGAACATTTCAACCAGGGGTCTGGAGACAGTTCCAAGCAGGTTAAGTGATGGAGTTTGGATGTGTTGTCCCCTCCAAAACTCATGTGGAAATTTGATCCCCAATGTGGCAGTGTTGGAAACTGATTGAGTCATGGGGGCGGATCCCTCATGAATGGATTCATGCTCTCCCTGGGGGAGGGGGGATTAATGAGTGAGTTCTTGCTCGATTAGTTCCCATGAGAGCTTGTTGTTCACAGCACCCTGGCACCTCCTCTCTCTCTCTCTCTCTTGCTTCCTGTCACCATGTGATCTGCTTGTACCTGCCGGCTGCCTGCCACTTTCCGCCATGAGTAGAAGCAGCCTGAGGCCCGTGCCAGATGCAGCTGTCCCAGAATCGTAAGCCAAATAAACCTCTTTCCTTTATAAATTACCCAGTCTCAGGTAATTCTGTTATGGCAACACAAAATGGACTAAAACTGGATTTTACAATCCAAAAGAAAAGATTCCGTTGCCCACTCCTATATGGAATTCAAACTTTTTTTGAAAAAAGAAAGAAACATAAAATAAGTGAAAGGAAATGCAACAAAGTTTAGGTTTTTCCCATGATGGTTATTTCAGTGCTCTTACCGGAAGGATTAAATTCTCTAAATTGAAAAAAAAAAAAAAAAAGTTAATGGTGCCCTAAGCATCTGCTTGGCCCACCTGTTGGGCAACTTTGTGGTGAGTCAGTTAGATGTGGCCCTAGGAAGAGCAAAGTCAGGGACGGTTGGGACAAAACAGCCCTGCTGGGGAAAGGGTCCACAGGCGAAGCTGACCAGAAAAGAGGGGAGACCCAGAGGGATAGAGATGACCAGGCAGCCTGGGGGAGGGGACTGGGTGGTCATAGTGCAGCTCTCTCTGCAGGACTGGATGTGACCCCGCTTTGACTAGAAGTGGGAGAGCTTCCCACCAGCGCCCCAGCCCTCCCCGCTGGGCCCCCAGCCCTCCCCGCCAGGCCCCCGGGGCCTCCCCGCCATACCGATCGGTGACAAAGGAGAACATGAGCAGCCTCTGCTCGATGAACCACCTCCACTCAGGATTCTCGCTCTGCAGGTCCCGGTAGTTGTCGTTGGAGACGATGATGCCGTCCTGCTCGTAGGCCACCTTCACGATGTAGCGGTCGTCATAGCAGACCACCCGCTTGCCGTTCACCTTGCGGGACGGGGTGTACACGAGCACCGCCTGCCTCTCCAGCTCCTCCAGCACGTGCTGCTCTGGGCCGCGGGCGACAGGCACCATGTGTAAGGGCTTTCAGAAAGGCTCCCCCCCCACAATGAACCACCCTAAAACAGGGCCCAGGGGTCCTCTCTGAGCCATCCCTGCCTCCCCACCCCGCTCCCCAGCCAGTCAGATGAGGGGCAGGGAGGCTGCTTGGTTTCTGTCCCACCAGTGTCCTGGCAGGAGTAAGAGGATGGTGCCCAGCAAGGGAGTCACTTCAGGAGATGTCAGCTGTAACCCTTGTCCCTTTGAGGGTTACATGCCACAACGCCCCTATTATAGTAGATACAGGGGCCTTCTGGAGAAAGACATTCCTATTCTAGCTGTATTAGCCCCGGTAATGCCTTAGCAATGACTCCTCCAACTTCCCCCACCACACAGGAATCTGCCTGGGACTCCTTTGGGCTGGGCTTTGGGCTGGGGCATCCCATACCTCACAGTTCTGAGAGACTCAAGAATATAATAGGAAAAGTCCACGATCAACAATCTACAGCCTGGATTCTGGGCTGACCTTCAGTTCTTGGGTACTTTACCCCTGGTTTAATGTCAAGTTTTACATTTCTACGATGAAGATAATAACACGTCCTTTACCTATCTCAGAATGTTTGTGAGTAGACTGAACAAGCCAGGTGTGTGAGGGCTCTTGCAAAAACTAGTAGGGAGGCGAACACGTATCGGGTGGTATAACTATTACAAGGTCTTTCTTATCAGGAGCTAAAATCCACATCCCGGGAAGGTCTACTGTTTAATCTGAGTTTTGCCTTTGGAAACATGCAAAAGAAAATCCCTTCTTCACCTAATAGTTAACTCA